AGTTCATGCCCTTCTCACACCTGTGTGCTACCTACCTAATTGAACAGGTTGATCATTAGGCCTCTTCACACTAGATGATACAGTTGCCAGATTCTGGTAGCAATGTAAACCATGGGATGTAATTGTGGCCTAGGCCCTTTGATGTCTGAGATTCCTTCTGCAACTTTGGGTAACTGTCACTGTGAGGGGCTCCATCTCAATATATGCAAGGAGGCTCCAGAGGCCTCCAGCTGTGGTTGAAAACACAGCCTTCATTATGTCCCGTTTCTATGGACAATCATTATGCTACTAAGCAATTTCATGGGTCATAAAGTTTTGAAGACACTAATGACCATCCCAGGACAATCATTTGATTAAGCTATTTATCAGACATCCAAGCAAGATTTCCCTTCATGCTAAGACTTAATTGACTAGAGTGGAAATGAGATCACAAAGATTTGACAACGAAAATGGCAAGTGATAAGGCACATTTGGCATGATTTATGTTGAGACCAAAGACCGATAAATTTTAGATAGGTTATTTTGGTGACACAGATTATGAACAAAATGAAATACTCTAAGGACAATAACTATAGAAAGCATACACATGGTTTTGAGCATTTCTGAGCATATTTGCAGCCAGTCTTTCCAAATTTAAATGACTGTATAAGCCATGATAGCACGTAAATTTGATAGTGAGGTCAGAAAAGAGAAAGAACAGAAATGAGAAATTAAAGAACAGATAGTTATCACTAAGGAAGAGACTAACGTTGTGTTGCCATTTTGGAGAGACATAATTGGAAGCACTGGCATAGTGGTTATAACTCTAATTGAATCCTCTTATTTGCCCATAGCATGTGTGTTTTCAGTTTAAGCCTTGTTTGAATCAGGCCTTGGGCTTGTGACATCCTGCTAATGATGTAATCATATGCTCTGAACAATCTGTTTCTGTTTGTCTGGGGTGCAATTTCTTTAGACTCTGCCAAATAGCTACAAACATCAGAACCAGTTCCATAAGACATGCTAGTAAAATGAAATTCAAAATAATGGGATTTAAGTAGGGAGTATTGAAGGACCTAAACTTGATCTTGACATTGAAGGACATTCTTGGTGATCCTTAATTCTCCCCTGTTCAGGCCAAAGTTATCAGGACCTGGTGCTCATGTTCTTGATTGTAAATCAACACATATTGGGACCTAGGGCCTAACTAGAATTGAGTGTAAAGTACATTTATTAGACTCTGATTTTTTTCTCTAGCTGCGTCTAGGAGAACTCCGAGTTGTTAATTTGCTTTAAGATGGTCATAAAAGTGGCACCATTAGAAACAAACGTTCACGGGAAGTAGACACAGCTTTTTCTTTAGGCTAACGTTCACTGAGGCCAGGAGTCAAACCTATCTTCAGTAATGTCTAGAGAAATTAAGGTGATCTTTCTGCACAATGCAACTTCCATTCCCGAAAGTTGGGACCTAGTTCAGCTGAAGAAACTCTTAAAAATAATGTATTTTAGTCCACCTAACATTTTCCTATATACATTCCATTCCATAACACTTTTATAGAAGAGGCCCAAGGCGGAAACCCTTTTAAGTGAGATGAGTAGAGGTGATTCCCTGGCATTGTCTGACCGTCTATGAATACAGCAATCCAGATTTGGGATCATGCGAAGGATCATGTGATCCTTCAGGCCTCCAACTGTCATTTAGCATGCCGTGCAATCATACTACTTCACTGCATAGGGAGGTGGGAATGGTTGCTCTGATGTGCATAGCCAGGGCACCGAGTCGGCCCCCTCCTCAGTAGCTAAGGAAAGGACATCGGGAGACTCCCTTCAACGCCTCATCTACATTTTATTTTTTCTTAATGCACCAGGGATTGCACAGAAAGTTGGGTTTTGTGAAAGCGAGCAAGTGGCCTGCCTCTTGCCTTCCCTTGGGGGGGTCTGGCTTCTATGTTTATGATACTGTATGATACTGTTTCTCAACTGACAAGGTGACTCAGATCAAACCCATTTTCAGAACTCCTCCCGACGGGCCGCTGTAGATATCTGCGTATTACACGTCCACACCTTGAACACCGACTAAATAAATACCACTCCATACATTACTCCTGTCCTCTCATATCTTTAGACGTCAGCAGAAAATTGAAAACCTGATTTGCTTTACTGCTAGTATTAAGAGAGCACAAAAAGAATAAAATCCTGTTCATTATGTTACTGGATAACCTACAAATTTGCTTTCTTTCATTCCTAAGGGATGTAAAGCTAACATTGCTTCAGTTAACATAAAGAACATTCTAGTAGAATACTGCAGTATTAAGAACACTGAGGCTTACCTGGACAAATTTGTGGCTTGTTCCAAACGCAAAAGCTGATAATAAAACAGAACTAGAAGCTGCATCTACGTAATGTGCAAGTCCACAAAGTCTTCCACAGCTCAGTATGTTAGACTTGAGCAGTTCCCTGTGTACATTCATGAGAGCCTAGAAATACCAGCAGGGGAGCACACACCTGTAATCCCAGCACTCAGGAGGTTAAGGCAGGAAAACAGCTAGTTTGACATCAGCCTGGGCTGCAAAGGGACATTTTGTGACCAAAAAAAATTAAAAAACAAATGAAGGAGGAAAAGTAAAATCTATTCCCAAATTGGGATAAGAATCTTACAAACAGAGCCCTTGTGGCACGTCTGTAATTCTAACTACTAAGGAGTCTGAGATGCAGAGGATTATGGTTTGATGTCAGCTAGGGCAGAAAAGTCCATGAGACACTATCTCCAAAATAATCAGAAAAGAACAGGGTTAGAGGTGTGAGGTAGAGACCAGCTGAGTAAGAAGCCGAGAGAGCTGAGTTCCTGAGTTCCTGAGTTCAAACACCAGCCATCCTCCCTCCGAAGGAACCTCACACACACAAGTCGGAGGAGGCAGCAAGCATCAGCCCCACCTGCTGACACGTGCACACACGCTCATGTGCGAACACGCTACTCAGCAGGAATCAGATTTCACATACGACATTTCTTATCACATTCTTCCCTTTCCAGTCTCCATTCCCTAAGAACCAGGGCTCTGAGGCTTTCCTCAGAAAGCATCCTGTTGGACACAGATTGGACTCCCCTGGTTCATGAACCAAAGCTGGCCTCGTGAAAGCGGTATCTCCTCTGAAGGTAAAGGCCTAAGCTGTGACCAAAGGAGCTCACTGTCAGGAGGCTGAGAAATGAAGATACGGGTTCAGAGCCAGCATGGGAAGACAGATATTCAAAACGCTTTATTTCCAGTTAATAAGCAAAAACCTGGAAGTGAAGGTGTGGCTCAAATGGTAGAGTGCCAGACATAAGCAGAAAAAGTCAAGTGAGAATGAGAGACCCTGAGTTCAAGCCTCGGTACCAGCACACACGCACACACACACGCACACACACGCACGCACACACGCGCACACACATGCACGCACACACTCACGTGCACACACACGCGCACGCACACACGCACGCACACACGTGCACACGCACACGCGCACACATGCACACGTGTGCGCGCACACACACGCACACGCACGCACACGCACGCACGCACACGCACGCACACACGCGCGCACACACGCACGCACGCACACACGCGCACGCACACGCACGCACACACGCACGCACGCACACACGCACGCACACAGGCGCACACACATGCACGCACACACTCACGTGCACACACACGCGCACGCACACACGTGCACGCGCGCACACACACGCACACGTATGCACACACACGCACGCACACGCATGCACACACGCACAGGCACACGCACACGCATGCACACATGCACACACGCACACACACACGCACGCACACACGCGCACGCGCACACGCACACACACACATGCACGCACGCGCGCGCGCGCACACAGAACCCATTGTAAGACAAAGCTTCGATAACTCCTTCTTCCTTGTATCACTCACACACTTTGCCTTCACCTTTCCTTATCCCGTGTGCACTCCCTCCCAGATCAAAATTCATGTGTGTGCCGGGCGCTATGGCTCATGCCTGTAATCCTAGCTGCTTTCAAATTGACTTCAAAACCCAGTCACCCAGCCACAGGAGGAGCATCTACGTAGATTACCAGACACCCAGAGAGGGCTTCTCACACCAGGGCTTCTATAACGGCATCCCTTCAAATGGGATGGCAGAGCAATCCTGAGCTTTGGGTGACACCTACAGGCACATCAGAAGAAAAGTAAAGGGAGGACCTGAGGAGCAAACAGGAACAGAGCTATTAAAAGAGGGAAATCTCATTGCCTTTTTTGAGAGTTCACTTCATAAAAGCTAGTGAGGCTTTGTAACCCATTCCTATGCATCTCCTACTTTGGCCTCAAATGTGTGAATGTCTAGAGACCTATGTATTTTATCATGTCCCTGTGTATGTGTGAGTGTGCATGTGTGTGTGTATGCATAACCATTATTCTTGGAACAAACACTGGTACTCACTAGACACGATGTTGAAAATGAACTGTGTATCTTGTGAGTGGAGACGAGAGGAAAACACTGGGAGAGCACTAGGTAAGGGAGACTCGTTACCTGACTCGTGTAACTATAATCCCTCTTTATATCACCTCTACAATTGCAGCAAAATATTTACAAAAAAGTAATAGAGCTGATATATTGCACTCATAACCTGCTGTGTTAAAAGGCAATTCCTTTGCATAACTACTTAAAGATAATTTTTAAAAAGGATAAAAGTGATTTGAAAAGATCTTTAAATGCCAGAGACATCTTTCAGAATGATAACCACAACACAGACAAGAATGTCTTAGCAAATAATATAGATTGGAGAGATACAGAAGACATAGACATATGTACATACACAGACACACAAGGTCTTGCATTGCTAATATGACTTGTTCCAGTATGGTGGGGTAAGCTCTGATGTAAATCTGACATGAGTTTACCAGGTGCAGTAGGACGCTGTCTCATGTAGACCTACTCATTAAAGGTATGTTATAAAATACGTCATCCATAAGCACTTGTGTGTGTGTGCGTGTGCGTGCGTGTGTGTGTCTTTCTTTAATTTGTAACAAAGCCTTAGAGACAGATGCAAACAGGAAATCCTCCTTGGCAACCCAGACCTCACTGCTATGAGATTTTGGTACATGTAAGAAGGCAACAACAGTTGGCAATGTGAGGGTTTGTTTGTTAACCACACAGTTGCTTTGAGAATAAAATTGATATAAAAGCAAAAAAAAAAAAAAGACGTCACCCGAAGAACAAGTGCCCTCTGATCTGAGCGTGAAGGGAATGTTCACACGCCTCCCCTGCTTCTATCTACACCTCCCTACACACCACGAGTGACACTCCGCTGGGTTCTAAAACTAGCCTAGCATGAACTCATTAACTCCTTTGTTCACGCTAAAAGTAAACCATGCCTTAAACAAATATTCACTCCAAGCTTTATAACCAACTTAATGCCTTCATGAAGGTAGTTCTGGTAGAGTTCAGCTGAGGACAAGTATACTTCATTGTTCAACACAGTCTTCCTCCACTGTGTGTGTGTGTGTGTGTGTGCATGTGTGCACATGTGCGCACCATTCCTGGTGCTTGATCTCAGGGCTGGGGTGCTAGCCTTCAGTTTTTTTTGTGCTCAAGATTAGTGTTCTACCACTTTCAGCCAGAGCTCCACTTCCAGCATTTTTTTTTAAGTAAATGGAGCTAAGAGTCTCACAGGCTTTTCTGCTGGGCTGGCTTCAAACTGTAATGTAATATCAGATCTTAGCCTCCTGAGTAGTTAGGATTATGGGCATGAGCCACCAGTGTCCAGTTCTCCATTATTTTTAAAGGTTATTATTGTATTAATATTACTATTAATTTTATTTTCTGTTGCACAAATCAATGTGGACTGGTCACTTTAGGTAAACTGAATTTGTAAAACAAATGTCAAGTCGATTTGCAGGAAGTATTTCTAAGTAATACATCACTATAATTTTCCAAAACATGTTTTGTATTCTCTCGAGGGTTTTTAAAAACACTTTGATGTAGTTAAATCAGAGTGTGGCTGTACATACACATTCATCGTAGGACACCATTCTTGCAATATGACATTTTAATGTAAAGCTTTCAAAGAAAGTACATATCAGGTGTTGGGATCAAGTTGCAGACCTGGCTTCACGCTCTTCTCTGATCACACAGACTGCTGCTTCTTCTCCAGGCACCTCTCGATGTCGTCCAGCACCTGGAGGGCGGCCTTTGGGATTCGAGTTCCAGGGCCAAATACATTGGAGACCCCGACCTCATACAGAAATTCATAATCCTGCGGGAAGACAGATGAACTCACAGGATGTGGCTAGAACATACTCCTTCAGGAGCACTACCCATCACCTGTGGCCCGTTCCTCAGCCCGCAGGCCAATGAGACCACTGTGAGCTGTGTGGTAGACTCAGCTATTTTCACCACCTGCCAGTGGTTAGGTTAAATTTAGCATTGTGCTATCGCTTCGCATTCGCCATGCTCTTCACTTCCTCCCGGGTGTGTGCACAGGTAGTAAATTGTGACACCCCGAACTCGGCCTCGTACATATGTGTGCTACGTGAAGGCGCAGAGGCAGAGTGCGCGGGTTACAAAGAGTGGAATGACTAGTTTGGAGGAGTCAAGCGGAGCTGGGGAGAAAGCAGAGCACAGATGTCCAATGTCTGCTTCCCCACCCAGCTGCTGGGGTGGCCGGCGACCAGACCCAGGACCCAGTGCTTAGACCCAAGTGCTCTTACATTCACTCACCCAGGCTTGGGCAGCACCTTTGCTAAAAAGCATCCAATCTGCATTCTCAGGTGATCATAACAGACAATAAAGTCTATAGGCATGCTAACATCCTCCAATAATTCCCGTCTATCTCTATTATAGCTTTGTGGTATTCATGCAAAAGTATTATTTTGCCCTGACATTTAATACATCTGATTGCCCCTCTGTCCTTTGAGTTTCTGAGAGCTGAGATTATGGTAGAAGACACTCAGAATGTTTCACTGTCCTTGAGCAGGTGCTGCAGACTGCAAGAGGAAGTCTCAGAAGAATACCCAATAAGACATGTAGTAACAATTGCTTACAGACTGGGGAGAGGCTGGCTGATAGAGGTTATCTTCTTTACTCCTCTTGAGGAACCGTATGTCCCACTTATCCTGACATCTGCTACAATTCTTCCAGCTCAACACTTTTTCCACTTTTCAGTTAAAACAATGAAAACTTGGTGTCATCAGAGACTGGATTGGAAATTGGCCCTTGTGTAGTAACTTCTGTAAAAACCAGAACTCAAGTATGTGGGCAGTGTCCTCCTACCCGATTCACACACTAACTGACACCACTGAGGGTTATTAGCCTTGCTTCTTCTTCTCTAAGAGGAACCACATTGTTAAAGTCCCTCCTCCCACCGCCATTCAGCCTGTAATTTTTCAGAATGAGCCGATTCTACTGGCTGCCGTTAAGGCATCTTTGTCCACAAGCAAGCGCTACTTCAAGTCAAACTAGCTAAAATAATAAATGGGTTTTACAAGACCATGTACTGTAACTGCTATATCTCTGAGGTAGGGGGGAGATGACGTACGGAGAACTTGGACAAGATAGCTGGTTGACAACAAAAGCAAACTTCCTAACGCTCGCTACACAACCAAGAAACAGTTCTCACTGCCTCTAGCTAGGCTGGACATGATCGCTACATGAGCAGCTCTCTGTGAGGTCTTTCCCTTTTCCCCTTGTTCTTTTTCCACTACTGTTTACTGAACATAACAAAGACATCTATCACAAGTTACTGGTTTGCATGGACTTAAGTTTTCTTACAGGTTGTGTAGACTATTATGTTAAATAATATGTCATGGATCAAAATATAGCTCTGGTAAAAAATAACTCTGCTCGGGCTGGGAAGGTGGCTGAATGGAAGAATGCTTGCTTTGCATGCATGAGGCCCCGGGTTCGATTCCTCAGCACCACATACGCAGAAAAAGCTTGAAGTGGCTCTATGGCTCAAGTGGTAGAGCGCTAGCCTTGAGCTGAAGAACTGAGGGACAGCGCCAAGGCCCAGAGTTCAGGAGCCATGACTGACAGCAACAACAAAAAGAATGTGTCAGGGCTGGGAAGGTGGCTCAGTGGTAGAGCGCTTGCCTTGCATGCTTGAGGCCCTGGGTTCGATTCCTCAGCACCACATAAGCAAAAAGAAAAAAGCAAGAAGTGGCGCTGTGGCTCAAGTGGTAGAGCACTAGCCTTGAGCTGAAGAGCTGAGGGACAGTGCCCAAGCCCAGAGTTCAGGCCCCATGACCGGACCCAAAAAAAAAAAAAAAAGAATGTGTCAAAAGTAACTCTGCTCTCGGCAGAATTTACTTAGTAAAATCACAAGGGAATGATTTTCCTCCAAATCTAGTTTTACAACTCAACCTAAGCCATTATTGCTTTGAATACGCACTGCAGTGCTGGGAGGAAGGTACCTGTGGCGGTATGACGCCCCCACACATGACGAGAATATCGGGCCGTCCGAGGGTGGCAAGCTCCTTGATGAGCTCGGGCACAAGGGTCTTGTGGCCCGCAGCCAGTGTGCTCACCCCCACCACGTGCACGTCGGCATCCACAGCCTGCTGGGCCACTTCACGGGGAGTCTGGAAAAAGACAAAGCACAGTTTGCTACTGGCTAGCCATGAGGAAAATCAGTCTTGTGTGGGCATCACTCCGTATTTCATCGCTGTTAAAACTGCAAAAAGCACTGAACTACTGATGCAAACACTGTCCATGCGGTTGTGTGCCTAGCACCAGAATTATACCAAAACGTATTCCCCAAGGAGTCTTCAAGACAAAGAATGCACGGAAGTAGTATCCTTTCCATTACACCTGTCGACTTCATTATCAACTGACACTGAGTGACAACATTGTAAAGCACTATGATACAGCGGCAGTGGAAAAGTTAAAAGTTAAACTCAATGTAGTACAAAAAAGTGAATGAGAAACAATGCTGCCAGTATGGTGAGGAGCAAGAAACTTTAGACTCTGGTCCTTCTACAAATACACCCAATTGGCAGCAGGATGTGGGCTCCAAGGCTTTCGTGAGAGCACTGGAAATAAGGCCGAGGTCACAGCACGCAGTACGTGTGTGACAACGAGAAGGAAGAGCTTCACACCCATTCACAGGATGTGGGGACTTTCACAAAGTTCTCAATTAGTACTCGCGAGAGTCTATCTCCTCTGAGCACTAATGCTTTCTCATACTGCTTTGCCACTGCCTATGTATTTAACTTACTTCACAGAAAAGGCTAAAGTGTACAAGTTCCTCATGGTAAATGTAAAATTTTAGCAAGAACATCACACATCAGGACCACTGTCTAAAGTCCCAAAGAAAAAGCATCCATCTGTTAATTTTTTGTGCCTCTTTGTTCAGGTAGTGGGGACACATGCATGGACATGAATAAACTTCATACCGCACGTTAGCAAGCACCCTGACTCTGTGAGAAACATTAACATGTGAAATCAAACTTCGTAAGAGAAAGCGTCATATTCTTTCATTTTACTTCTGAGGTCTGACCTTGCCTTAGGAGAGGCTTCCACTGTTTCTCATCTGGATTCCAGGGCTTCTTAACTAGACTCCCTGCGCATCTAGCTACAGCTGCTCTCAGCTCTTGTCACACAGTTTTACCAGAAAGTGAATTTTCTGAAGTATAAATTGGACTGTGTTGCCAAACCCACACACAAACCACTGGGATGGAGTGGAAGGCTATCAATCTCAACCCTTTGTGAAGCACACATTCTAACTCTACTCTTACAGTAACCTGAGGACATCATGCCTTCTTACCGCTCTCTAACTGTCCAGCCATCCCTCCTTGCCTGATTTGTTCTAGGCTTCGGAAGTTACAGTTCAAAGGTTCCTATGATACCTGAAAGAACCAAAGTCGCTCCTTGTCCATGTTATAGTTACAGTAACAATCATACTATGTTGTGATTACTAGTAAGATAGTCTGTTAGGAGGCCGGTACCTCCTTGGGGACAAAACCTCATCTTACTCACATCTGGCATAGAACTGCACACTTGTAGCAGATAAAGCTTAGAGTATAGAATTTATTCAAATGTATTTTCAGCCAAGGATGTATTTTGTAGAGTATACTATCACTCTGTGAACAACTTCCATTCCCTTGGGCAATAAAAAAAAT